TTTTAGCAAAGAGAAAAGAGAAAACAGTTAGTCAGGGATAAGAGTTAGTCAAAGAAAGAAAAGAAAGAGTTAGCAAAGAAACAGTTAGTCAAGGAAAGAGTTAGTCAAAGAAAGAGTTAGTGAGGGAAAGAGTTAGTCAAAGAAAGAGTTAGCAAAGAAAGAGTTCGTCAGGGAAAGAGTTAGTCAAAGAAAGAGTTAGTCAAAGAAACAGTTAGCAAAGAAAGAGTTCGTCAGGGAAAGAGTTAGTCAAAGAAAGAGTTAGTCCAAGAAACAGTTAGTCAAAGAAAGAGTTAGCAAAGAAACAGTTAGTCAGGGAAAGAGTTAGTCAAAGAAAGAGTTAGTGAGGGAAAGAGTTAGTCAAAGAAAGAGTTAGTCAAAGAAGAGTTAGTCAAAGAAAGAGTTAGTGAGGGAAACAGTTAGTCAGGGAAAGAGTTAGTCAAAGAAAGAGTTAGTGAGGGAAACAGTTAGTCAGGGAAAGAGTTAGTCAAAGAAAGAGTTAGTGAGGGAAAGAGTTAGTCAAAGAAAGAGTTAGTCAAAGAAACAGTTAGTCAGGGAAAGAGTTAGTCAAAGAAAGAGTTAGTCAGGGAAAGAGTTAGTCAAAGAAAGAGTTAGTCAGGGAAAGAGGTAGTCAAAGAAAGAGTTAGTCAGGGAAAGAGGTAGTCAAAGAAAGAGTTAGTCAAAGAAAGAGTTAGCAAAGAAACAGTTAGTCAGGGAAAGAGTTAGTCAAAGAAAGAGTTAGTCAGGGAAAGAGTTAGTCAAAGAAAGAGTTAGTGAGGGAAAGAGTTAGTCAAGGAAAGAGTTAGCAAAGAAACAGTTAGTCAGGGAAAGAGTTAGTCAAAGAAAGAGTTAGTGAGGGAAAGAGTTAGTCACAGAAAGAGTTAGCAAAGAAACAGTTAGTCAGGGAAAGAGTTAGTCAAAGAAAGAGTTAGTCAGGGAAAGAGTTAGTCAAAGAAAGAGTTAGTCAGGGAAAGAGTTAGTCAAAGAAAGAGTTAGTGAGGGAAAGAGTTAGTCAAAGAAGGAGTTAGCAAAGAAACAGTTAGTCAGGGAAAGAGTTAGTCAAAGAAAGAGTTAGTGAGGGAAAGAGTTAGTCACAGAAAGAGTTAGCAAAGAAATTGTTCCCTCACTGTAAATGGGATTGCAAGTGGTGCTGGTGGAGGAGTTGCCGATGGAGTTTTGGAGGAAGTCTCGCACGAAATGCGTTTTTGAGAGATAGCAAATGCACGAAAGCCTATGTTTTTCCATACAAAGTGCGTCCCCGAACGTCGATGATCTACCTCTGCGGTGCGACGGGTGCGAGACGGTCTCGTGTGTGGTCGGATCATGGTCGGATCATGGGCGGATCATGCTCGGATCGGTTTCGGATCGGTTCCGCATTGTAAATGGGGTTTCAACTGTTTTTCGTGCATGTGTGGTCGACAGAATTCCATTGTGATTTGCAACTGTAGGATCGTTCCCGCATTGTAAATGGGGTTGCAAGTGGTGCTGGTGGATGATTTGCCGATGGAATTCCATTGTGATTTGCAACTCTAGGATCGTTCCCTCACTGTAAATGGCATTGCAAGTGGTGCTGGTGGAGGAGTTGCCGATGGAGTTTTGGAGGAAGTCTCGCACGAAATGCGTTTTTGAGAGATAGCAGATGCACGAAACCCTATGTTTTTCCATGCAAAGTCCGTCCCCGAACCTCGATGATCTACCTCTGCGGTGCGACGGGTGCGAGACGGTCTCGTGTGTGGTCGGATCATGGTCGGATATGCTCGGATCATGGTCGGATCATGGTCGGATCGGTTCCGCATTGTAAATGGGGTTTCAACTGTTTTTTCGTGCATGTGTGGTCGACAGAATTCCATTGTGATTTTGTAAATTGGATGAGTTGCTGATGGAATTCCATTGTGATTTGCAACTGTAGGATCGTTCCCGCAATGTAAATGGGATTGCAAGTGGTGCTCCTGGATGAGTTGCCGACGAAATTCCATTGTGATTTGCAACTGTAGGATCCTTCCCGCAATGTAAATGGGATTGCAAGTGTTGCTGGTGGATGAGTTGCCGATGGAATTCCATTGCGCTTTGCAACTGTAGGATCGTTCCCGCAATGTAAATGGGATTGCAAGTGTTGCTTCCTCTTTTGGCTGCATGCGTAATACTCTTGTCTTTTGCAGCTGGACTTCATAAATCGTATTGGAGTGGCTGCATGAAGGCTGCGACAGTGATTTGTCAGCAGATTTTCTCCATTTTGGCGCTAGTGATTTTCCTTCTGAAAATCCTTTTAAAAAGTGCTTCAAAATCGTCTTTTTTTCGCTCTGGCGTCGAGATCCGGTTTTGGACCTGCAATTTCCGACCCAGTTGCGCGTAGATCTATTGTGTTTTGCAACTCAGTCTTTGCAGATCGCATAGTAATGGCTGCGTCAAGGTTGCTTCTTGCCACGGCTGCATGCGTAATACTATTGTCTTTTGCAGCTGGACTTCGTAAATCGTATTGGAGTGGCTGCATGAAGGCTGCGACAGTGATTTGTCAGCAGATTTTCTCCATTTTGGCGCTAGTAATTTTCCTTTTAAAAATCCTTTTAAAAAGTGCTTCAAAATCGTCTTTTTTTCGCTTTGGCGTCGAGATCCGGTTTTGGAGCTGCAATTTCCGACCCAGTTGCGCGTAGTTCTATTGTGTTTTGCAACTCAGTCTTTGCAGATCGCATTGTAATGGCTGCGTCAAGGTTGCTTGGTGCCGCGGCTGCATGCGTAATACTATTGTTTTTTGCAGCTGGACTTCGTAAATCGTATTGGAGTGGCTGCATGAAGGCTGCGACAGTGATTTGTCAGCAGATTTTCTCCATTTTGGCGCTAGTAATTTTCCTTTTAAAAATCCTTTTAAAAAGTGCTTCAAAATCGTCTTTTTTTCGCTCTGGCGTCGAGATCCGGTTTTGGACCTGCAATTTCCGACCCAGTTGCGCGTAGTTCTATTGTGTTTTGCAACTCAGTCTCCGCAGATCGCATTGTAATAGCTGCGTCAAGGTTGCTTCATGCTGAGGCTGCATGCGTAATACTATTGTCTTTTGCAGCTGGACTTCGTAAATCGTATTGGAGTGGCTGCATGAAGGCTGCGACAGTGATTTGTCAGCAGATTTCCTCCATTTTGGCGCTAGTAATTTTCCTTTTAAAAATCCTTTTAAAAAGTGCTTCAAAATCGTCTTTTTTTCGCTCTGGCGTCGAGATCCGGTTTTGGAGCTACAATTTTCCGACGCCGTTGCACGTAGGTTTAGAGCAGTGAAGTGTGGGGCGTGAAGAGTGCAGTGTGAAGTGTGCAGTGTGAAGGAAGCAGTGGGAAGTGAGAAGTGTGAAGTGTGGAGTGTGAAGTTTAAGTTTGGAGTGTGAAGGAAGCAGTGAGAAGTGACAAGTGTGAAGTGTGGAGTGTGAAGTAATTCCATCGTTCGTGCGGTTGTATGTTGATAACCTCCATAAAATGACCACCGTGACTTTGATTAGTGTGACCATACCTGATGTGACTGTGACTGTGACTATTCTGATCATGACTACTGTGACCATAGATACTATGACAAAGACTACTTTGACAATGACCGTTGTGGCTGTAACTGTAGTGACAATGAGTATTGTAACTGTTTGGACTGGCCCCTTTTTAGGTAATGACAGTGGGAAGTAGAAGTGACGGCATTAGTGTCCCAAGAATAAATGACTAGAAAGTGAAGTGTGGACTGTGAAGTGTGGAGTGTGAAGTTTGGAGTGCAAAGAGTGCAGTGTGAAGTGTGGAGTGTGGAGTGTGAAGTGTGAAGTTTGGAGTGTGAAGGAAGCAGTGAGCAGTAAGAAGTGTGAAGTGTGGACTGTGAAGTGTGAAGTGTGAAATGTGGAATGTGAAGTGCGAAGTGAGTGTGAAGTGTGAAGTTTGGAGTGTGAAGGAAGCAGTGAGCAGTGAGAAGTGTGAAGTGTGGACTGTGAAGTGTGAAGTGTGAAATGTGGAGTGTGAAGTGCGAAGTGAGAAGTGTGAAGTGTGAAGTGTGGAGTGTGAAGGAAGCAGTGAGAAGTGAGAAGTGTGGACTGTGAAGTGCGAAGTGAGAAGTGTGAAGTGTGGAGTGTGAAGGAAGCAGTGAGAAGTGAGAAGTGTGGACTGTGAAGTGCGAAGTGTGAAGTGTGGAGTGTGAAGTTTGGAGTGTGAAGGAAGCAGTGAGAAGTGAGAAGTGTGAAGTGTGGACTGTGGAGTGTGAAGTTTGGAGTGCGAAGAGTGAAGTGTGAAGTGTGGAGTGTGAAGACTTTGCTTCGTCTCTCGCTGAAAAAAAACCGCTTGTCGAGGGAAGGACACGCTCGGGACAGGCTGGCCTTGAACTATAGGTCATTTATTCTTGGGAAACTTCCGCCGCCGGCTTGCCCGGGTCTATGTTATGATAAGATTAATTACATTATGTATATATAATATTATATAATGTAATATAATATACTGTATATAATATAATAGAATAATATATGTATATAATGTATATAATGTATATATTACATTATAGATACACGCACATTTGTGCTTTCCCACTTTGACCCGATCCTCGCCCCGTATCTGCAGTGTCAGATCTTGTCCAGGCACAAGCGCTGATGGCACAAGCGGAGATCATTAGCCAAAGAGAGGAGTCGGGATCTTAGCCTCAGACGCATACAGAGATCTTTCAGAGAAATATGGGATACATAATCGTTCAGATGATTTCATACATTAGTCATACAATTATGTCATACAAGGTTGCTTGATTTTGGAATTTTGCTCAACATCTCCAAGCTTTGTTTCAACTTCTGACCGGTCCCGAATAATTATGCATATTTTTCACATTGATTTCACTTGACAGAAGATTTCCGGGATGCCTCACAGAAAAACAGAAAAAAGAGATATGAACATATTCACGACATCACAATGACCGTCGCTTCCTGAACTTCCCGAGCTTCCCATATTTCGAGATAGGATATATTTGGAGTATTTCCCACGTGTCGCAACGCGCACCCGTTCTCGGCTCAGTATGGAGACGGCTGTGGAGAAGGCGAAGGAGATGCGGCGTCGAGGGAAAGACATCCGGCACAGGCAGGGCAAGATGTGGAGACTGTGGAGAGGTGTGAAAATCGGTGGTTTCCATGGGATTTCCCGGTCAACATCGGTCAACATCGGTCAACTGTGTTCCAAGATGTTCCAAGATGTTCCAAGTCTTCAGAGATGTCATGGGGGAAGTCGTCAAGTCGCTGTGAGGCTTGTGGAAGCGCAGGCCTGTAAGGCACGACGGGACTTGCAGTGATGGTTAGTTTGGAGACTTGGATCGTCCTGACAGAAACCATGATCTAAACGAGGAACCACAGAACCCTGAATGTCTTATCCAGCAAGTGTAAGCTATTTCACAACACTGTTGGGTTTGAGGGAAAACGTTACAACTCGTGATATTGAATGTTATATCTACCCTGACATAATATTGCCTACCGGAATGGTACGACCTACACAGTGAGGACATCGAGTTGATCTGAAGCAGAAGTGGAAGAGATCTAGTCGAATCTAGTCACAAGATATATCAATATATGATGTTTTGGTTGGGGATGTTGGGCCAACACCAGTTGTATTCGCGCTATAGTGAAGCTCCTTGAGACTTGATGTGTACAGACTCCGTTTCTCGGACATCAGGCACTGGCGAATGTCTTCCAGACATTTGAACGTCTTGTAGAAGCCGTGCGGGCAGCCAACGAGGCCCGTCACGTCATGGCCTGTGGCGCGGCCTACTGAATTCTCACGTCATGAGATGCTCTGGCGTAATCTGGCGTACCACATCGAGAAATCAACGCATGTTACTGACCATTGGCCATCATTAGCTACTGGTAGCTATATGCGTTTTTTTTACTCAATCAACACTTACCATATAGATAATCTACATAATAATATTAAAAATATATAACATACATATCAGATGCATACATAATATACAAACATTCTACAGATTTGCAAGCTGGCCAGGCGGTCCAGCTTGCCAAGAAGGCGACTTACAAGCCGATCATCGTTGAGATGATGCTGGAGACCCGGAGCCAACGATGATATCGCAGCTGTGATCACGATGATATCATGACTCATGATGATTCTGAATCATATGATATCATGGCGATATGGTTCTCATATGAGTCAAGAACCATATCGCCATGGCCATAACTGATGATAGTTGACGATCTCTGTATTTGTAGATGTGTGATGTTGATACACAATAGACACACACACACAGACACACGTTTTCTTGCAAACACATGCACAGTTGGCGCAGTTTATTCCATGAAGCGACTTTTGACCCCAGATACTAAGGCTTTTGGCTGTGAAGGTGAACAGCTCGCTGGTCTTGCAGGATGGCGCGCAGGTGCAGCTTCAAACTTGGAATCTGATCCGTTGGGACTTTTCTGACCATTCTATTGGTAAATCCGTACGCAAATCTGCTGAGCAAACATAGCAGATTTACAGAGACTGCAAGCTGTGGACTTGTGTCGGAGATCTACCTATTTTGAGGATGAACACCACGAACACTGAACACTCCCACCAATTCAATTCATTTTCTCAATCTGATTGCGATGCGACAATCCAAGTTGCAGGTGTCCATGCGAGGTGCTGAGAAGGCAGTGCGTCCTGCCAGAGAGGTGCAAACTGAGCAGACTGAAGCCATTGGAAAACATTGGATTGGTGATGATTGGTTTGAGGGATAGGGAACAAAAATCTTCCCTGAAACATGGGTAATTTCTTCCCAGATTCTGCGAAGGGCACAGAGTCGAGCATATGGAGCTTGTTGTGAGATCAGGTGAGATTAGAGTCAGTTTAGTTCCTGTTGGGGTGAGAGACTTTCTTGGCGTCGAACGAAAGGTGCCTGGTGTTTTTCTCTTTTTTCCTCTTGGGAAAAATGCACGAATTTTATCCTCGCTTAAAACGGATTTCATTCCCTACAGGCAGTGACAGTCGCGAAAGCAACTGGAAAGCGATCCCTCGTAAGCCGCGTCCTTCAGGGAGTCACAGCTGTGCGGATTCATGATGAGCATTTCATGGTACTTCCACCATTTCACAATTGTCGATATCAATCCATATTGGATATGTACATGGACGTACTTTATATAATATATATAGATATACATGATGTAAATATTATACATTTATATAGATACAGAACTAGATTCCTAGATATTTAGATTTATATGTATAAATATATATATATTATATCTTGTTTCAATTCTTGCATAAGACTTCGCATTTCCGCTCCGATCCTTTGGCAGTAAGGCACGTGCCTGTATCAACTGGCGGAAGTGCAGCTGATGTCCTACCAACTTGGCCCAGCCATGAGCTCCGCCAAGGAGGCGCCCGGACTGCCACAGCTGTGCTCGGCTGTGCTCGGCTGTGCTCGTCATGGGGCGATGGGATGCGATGGGATGCGATGGGGTGAAGGCCTTGGACAAGTTTCGCGAAGCGGGGGACAAAACTGGAGAAGCTGGTGTCGGGGCCTCGCTTTTCCAAATTTACAATGTACAAAAAACTACAAAAATATCATGAAAACTACAATATAGTATGTTTTAGCATGTTTTGGTATGTTTTTAACTGGTGGTTTTCCATCTAATGGAGTTTCTGAAAACTACCGTACCCCAAAATATCAATATGGTTTCTCCTTATCACACATATTCAAGAATTCAACATGACCAAGAAATTGATTGAAGTTCCCTTTAGGAAACGATCTCATCATGAGTCACGTGGCGTGGTTTGGCTCTGGTGTTCCAAGGCCGTGATCCTCATTGGAGAGACTCACTATGCTGGGGGCAAGCACGACAAGGCACATGAAGCACATGAAGCACATGGAGCACATGGAGCACATGGACAGCTGGGATTGGGACCACGGGATCTTTCTCCATCGTTTTACATCTTTCGAATTCTTTTGACCTATACGAGGTTTTTTGAATAGTTGAACAGCCTCAAAGGGAAACGTGTGCTGGAGTCTTTACTTGCCCCTTTAGAGGATCCGAATCTCTTGAACTTGTTATCGAGAGCATTTAGATGCATTTGGCAGGGTTTTGGTAGATTTGCCAAAAAAATGCCAAATGCTTGGTTTATTTAGTTTTCATTTCGTTTTCATTTCGTTTTCATGTTTCCTGCATGGCTCTGCATGGCTCTGCATGGCTCTGCATGGAGGCAGAGGAGACGGTGAAGGAGGGCATTGATTTGGCCCTTCCGGCGAGTCTTGTGATGTCTTGTGCACATCGAGCTCTGGAATCCTGTGGAATCTGCCCCGATGCCCCGATGCCCCAATGGCAGATGGCCAAGTCTTTTCCATGGCCAGGCAACTGAGTGTGGTGACCAGAGGAAAGAGTTCTTTGGCGAAACCATGTTGCAAAAGCCAAGTGATTGTGGATCCGGGGGAAAACGGACTTTGGGATTCACGCGAACAGTCGGCTGTAGCGAGCCGGCATAGCCTTCTCTCTTATTGTAGATATACAGTTATACAGCAGTACTTGAGTCTTTGCTGTATGGCACTGTATGGTGTTGAAAAGGAGCAAATGAAACTTCGGTGGATCAGACTGAGTCACATCATGTCACATCACTTTTTTGGTTTAAAGTTTACATCATTTTTTGTTCACTTTTTTGACTCAGACTCAAGCGGGTTTCTGCAGCTCCCAGGTCATACGGCAGGGCCCTGCTTCAGCAGATCCAGGATAGTCGGCGAGCACAGCAGGAAGCAGCGATGGCTGCTCGACCGGCCATGGTCTGGGATGCCCAGCCAAGGGGCGACCAAGGGGCGAAAGTTGGCGAAAGGGTGAGGATAAATCGGATAAACATTTCAAGTGCCAATCTCAACGCGATAGAATGGACATTGTGACATGAATGAACTATTTCAGGACTTCTCTTCCAGCTTCCGGTGATTTTTTTTCCCAAATTCACTTGAAACTCCAGCTTCGCTGTTGCACCAAGATGCCAATGCAGATGCTGCCTCCGCAGGCCATACGGACAAAGCTGGGTCAAAGAAGATGGCTTCAGACACCCACCCCAGACATATGTGACATCATATGTGGACATGTGTTCAAATGTGTTCAACCGTGTTCAAATGTGTTTCAATGTGTCCAGATCTAACATCACCAAACAAACTCGAACTCTGTTCAACTGCGATTCCGCGGATTTTCCGTCAGCCTGTCAGTGTTCGTTGCGGCAGGCTGGCGGCATGGGTGCTGCTGACACACCAGCAGCTTCCTCCGCCGTGGTCGAATCTAAACAGGCCCGTCTCCAGCCGACACCCAGAATCCCCGTGGATTTGGCACTGGGGAGATTCTGCACGTTTATCCATAGTCTAATAGAAACATATAGAGACATCTGAAGTTCTCAGCTCCATTCAACTCCAAATCAGATCAGTAAAACTGGACTTTGATTCACTTCTGTACATTGAGATTGATGTGCCTTCACCAGCTCACCAAGCGCACCGATTCAAATCGCCAGGTGGGTCTGGATCCAGCCATGGTTTCAGCCACTGTTCAGGAGAGGGGGATCAGTCCAACAGGATGAACCGGATCTTGATGGATCTTGTCTAATCCAGCTTTGTTTTCGGGAGATTGTCGGGGTAAGACAGGTAAGGCGGCCGAAGGCGGCCTAAGGCGGCCTGCTCACTCCTTCTACCGGGAAGGTCCGGGAAGGTCCGGGAAGTGCCTTTGCAGGAGATGGCCAAACAAGCTATCGGAGTGGATGATGAGCTATTCCTGGATAGTCGTGGACTTGGGGCATTTTCTGCACAGAAAACAGTCAGATACTTCACGATGCTTCGCGATGCTTCACGATGCTTGATGTGATAGTTGGTGGGTGTCAACTTCAACATCTTGGATTGTTTCACTGACTTGGGAGACCTTGGGAGTATGTAAGTGCAGAGTACGTAGTCCAGTGATGGATGGATTTCTTTCATCATCTTTACCGCATGAGAGATGGTTTCCAAATCTGGCCCGTCACCATTGTTGACACTGAGGTGCATTGATGGATTCCGGAATGGACAGTTTGACTGCTGTCTCTTTCAGGCACAGCATCTGGAGTTTCTCATATTGCTAAATGACAATGACAGATTTTGACGCCAAACAGGGTAAGCCGGTAAGCCCAACATGGGAAAGAAGGGAATTGACACACACACACACACCATATCTGGATACACACATACCGTACCAGCTAAACGAGCGAACCTGTCTGGCTTTGCACTGTATCAGGAACGGCTTGCAGCAGCAGTTGGGTGTGAAGTTGCCATCTTCACTAATGTTCGATTATCCCACCATGAAGGCAGGAAACTTTTGAAGCAGTGGGCTGCAGTAGCTTGTATTTGCACATCACGTTTGTTTTATGAACTTGGTCCTTGCAAATATTATGACCTGTGCACTGTTTTGAAATCAGTTCAAGGATTTGATCACAAACATCCGCAGATGTGGCACGTCCAACACAGCGCTGTCGGCAGGAAGTGTCCAATCGAATAGTTGAACTGAGTGCCTTGGACGGCAGGTAGTGGGGTTGGACCGGATGGGCCAGAAACCATTGAGCAGAAGCTGGGGATTGGTCGACAAGTGTGAAGAGCTCCCCAGAGCCTAGGACACTTTGGCATACTTTGGCCAGATGTTTTCTATGCCGCAATAATCACATGGGTCAACTTCCTTAGGTCAACTTCAATTCGTCCCCGACTGTGTTTATATGTTGGAGACATGGAGACATGGATTGAACATCTTCGCGGCTCGATCGTAGCAGGCTCTAGTGAGCAAATATTAAGCCTTTTTTAAAGCTATATTTGGACTTGGGCTCACCAGATCAGTGAAGACATTCCGGGCACTTGAAAGACCCAGCAACGATGATGAGGCCACGACAGAGTGATAATCACTGTGATCACTGATAGAGCAACTGATAGCAGGTTGTGCCAGGTAAACAGAGCAATCTGAGCAATCCGTGCTCCATGCAGGTATTGAAAACGCCTGATGCTTGATGCTAGGCATCAACACCCCGGATAATAGGCGATTCAGACCACTGCTTTGACAACTTGGGGCGATCTTCAGCCCCTGCGATGATTTTGACTCAAACTATGACAATGACCAAAATCAGGTGAACAGATGTGAACAATGACCCACAATGATGTCAATTGCAGTGGAAAATCGGAAAATCCATGTGCTCCGCAGATTTGAGCTGCAGATGCCATGATTTGAGCTACAGATCCACCACGGATCTGTGCTGATCTTGTCCGCCAGAGATAACATGACATAGTCTCGCTTCCTGTGTCATGTGTCAGCTATTCTATTTGACCAACAACGATTCAACCGATTAAAAAAACATCTATTCCCGGTCTTTTTACTTTGAATCTATGTGGAAATCTGAAGTTGTGATGGCTCTAAGCTATGTGCAGCTCCTACTGACGAAGCCCGATAAGCTCCGCCTCGGTTGCGAAGGGCGTTGGTATTTTCAGAGCGAATTATTTGAATATCAGATGTTTCACGCGGTTCTTCCTGTTTAGGGTAGTCAGAAAGTGGTGGCATTTTTGCATGGAAAAAGGCAGCAGAACGCAGCGATGTTTGATAGTTGAGTCCCAAGTAGCTTTGAGGTGCATCTTACCCAAGCTGCAAAACCATGACCTCCAGTTTTAGATCAACTTGTGATTCTATTTGCCTTCAACGGTTTCAGTAAGTTTCGAGATATCAGTACTGACATGGTGGCATTCAAACAGCGCTGTAAAGTGCTTAGCCAAGCGTTGGGATGCTACTGACCTGTGTGTTGAAGCTATTTTCAAAGTCTTGGGCAGTGACTTGTGCCTAGACAAACCAATTCGACCGCGATTGTCCAGTGCTCCCTGTTTAGAAGGCAATGACATCAAAGATCTAAGAAACGGAGAGGAATTTGTGATATGGTGATTGATGAATATATATATATATATTATATAATAAAATTTACATAATACATTTTGCACAGGCATCTAGACATATCTAGACTCATCTAGACCCATCGAGACGCTTCAAGGTTTTGGGACCGGCACCCCTGCTCTGCCTTTGGAGGTTCTGCTCGACTGTTTTGGCCATTCTGGCCCAGGAGGAGGCATCATGAACATGGTAGAAATGTAGTTTGATGATGATTCTGATGATGTTTGATGCAGAGATTTCGACATTGTTCTGCAAAAGGTAAGCATTGGAATCACGATGAATCACGTCTGATCAGTCCATCATCCGATAAACTGAATGGTCTCATATATGTGAAATATGTTTGATGTCCTTCACAACAACGATGTCAAATCGTCGGGCATCGGCATCTTCCGCCATGGCACTGTGAGATCGGGCAAAGGCCACCTTTCTGGCACTCCAAACGCCACGAGGTAAGGGGAGGGACTCAAGGGAGGAATCGTAGGGGACGACAAAAAGCAGGAAAGGGCGGGTGACGCCGAAACCATTTCGTTAGCGTAGAGATTGAATGAGATTGATAATCCCTGATACCCCAAACCCTTCCACACATGCATTCTGCGTTCAAAGAAAACCAGAACTTCTGAGATCATTGCAGTGCCTTGGGGCTCCCAATTTGGAAGTACCAATTGGGTACTTCGAACCCTCTAGTAGTGGTGTCAGGGACTGAAGGTAGTGATCATGATAGCTGGAACTTGCTTCCGGACATTTGGGTTCCTTCTGCCTGCGTACAGAGGTAAGCTTTGTTTGCATCAACTGTTATCAACCAGTTTAGACGATACACTTTGGACTTGCAGCAAATACTCTACACATGATATGCAGGGGTCGGGAATCTTCATTTGCGATCCACCGCCACTTTTAGGGAGTCTGGCCTTCTTATGATGCATATGTTGCAAGATCTTAGCGATGCCAATGTGTGGCGACAGGTCGAGGTGCCGCAGAACATTATTTCGCCACCTCTCTCGCCGAAATCTCCCAAAGCCAAAGGCTCCGCCTGGTTGGAGATCGAAGCGAATTCGAAACCGCCCTCTGAAACCACTGAGTCGTTCTTCGATGTTTTGATGTTTTCAAGAAACCATGAGAAACCCGTATCCATGACGGTCAGTTACGAATGTATCGGAAGATGACAGCTTTGCTGAGTTCTGCGCAAGGCTGTGCGCTGTCATGACTAATGGCTGGCAGGGCATGCTCTGGAGGTGCCATGCTGAAACGTCGCTGTGCTTCACAACATGCCACAATCATCCACAATCCACATCAAATCTTCACCACACAGTGTGTCTCATCAAATCTTTTGAGACCATTCAATGAGACAATGAGGCAATGCCTGCAATATTTGGCCGATTCCCAAGTTGATGCGCTTCAGGATGGCCAGGCAGTGCTCTGAACAGCAGTCGTCCGGTGGAGAGTGCGCGGGGCGTCTACACTGATCCGCAGTGATGCTGGCCATGAAAAGAAAGGATCCAACAAAAATGATCAAAATAAATTATCAAAGAAATGATAGAAATGATCTATGATGATCAGATGATCAGATGATCCATCTGTGTAGGATGTGTGCGGTTAGTTTGAGATGGGATTGGATAATGCTCTGTGCTAAGGACGTGGATGATGATGAGAAGTCCGTTGCTCAGCTGAAAGTTGTGATGCTGTGATCCTGGCGCTCACAATACGTCAATGGCGTAGGGTGGTTTCCCTACATGCAGTAGCCCATAGTAGCCCATAGTAGCCCATAGTAGCCCATAGTAGCCCATAGTAGCCCATAGTAGCCCATAGTAGCCCATAGTAGCCCCAACGCAAAGATGATTACAAGTTGCCTGTAGCAACTTTCATCAAATGACCAGATCCCACATGTTTGGTTAGAGTTAGTGGTGCTGTCAATTACCACGAACATTCCAGGCATGGCAAGGTTGCTGCGAATCGTGCGTTTGTTCCGGCTGTTGAAGATTGCCACTTGTCAGTCAGAGCCAAATTCCAGAAGCTTGCCACTGTAAGCAGCTTGCTGTCACTTCGATTTTGGGTCAAGCTTTTGGGTAACATGTCTAGGAATACTTCATCAGTGAATCATACATGACTCGCACATGATGGATAAAACAATGACAAATTGACACCATGCAACTGGAGAATGCAACCAGATCAAGCTGTCGATTGCCTCCTGATGCCAAAAGGTGCGACTGCTGTATGAGCTCGCGCAATCCATCACTGAAGCCCTACAAGGCACAATCAAAGTGATGCCTCGGTGCTATGCTGTCCGCATCTTCAAAGTCTGGACTGGGTCAGTTGGGTCAGTTGGGTCATCTGGGTCCATCCCAAAGTGGATTTCCGCAGCTCCCAAGCTGATCAGTTGATGACCAGTCGAGATCGGTTGCTCAACGTGCCCGGCGCGGGTGCGGTGCCATGGAGGCGCCCAAGATGCAAGAGATGACTGAAAGCACTTCGGCTGTCTATGCCGGGCTGTTCCCCGGGAGCGATGGCGATCCGCCCAGTATGAAAGATGTGGTCGTTAAGAGCAAACGTTTGAAGACCTACCACTGGGCAGCACGAGAGCGAAAAGGGCTCATTGTTCTGGCGCATGGCTTCGGAGAGCATCTTGGGCGATATTTCCACGTGGCAAACTTCTTTGTAAAGCAAGGACGGGGAAGAATGCGACAAATGACAAAGGTTGTGGGGCAAACCAATGAAAGGAACTCCAGGAAAGGTCGGCTAATTTCGCCAGTGGATATGTATAATTACATGTATGTATGTATATGTATTATAAATACATTAACGTGATGATTTTTTGTCGGCTTTTCCCCAGAGGCTACGAGGTCTGTGGCATGGACCATTTGGCTCACGGCCTTTCGGAGGGCTTCCGCGCTGCCTATGGGCGCCTGGAACTGGAGGCACTGCAGAGCTGCTGGAGTCAATTCATTTTGGAGGAGGTGATCTCCATGGAAGGACCAGTGACCAGAGAGAACATGCGAAGTCAACCGGGACCAGAACAATGTTGCCATCTGAAGAGTTTCAGGTGTGGTCCCACTTTTTCTGGCCATACATGAACTGTATGAGCTTTGAAAGATGCAGTCAAAGCACATTGAAGACTGTTCAAGGTGCATGCACATCATTGCACATCTTTAGTTCAAAGTCAGTGGACGAAGGTTGGAGGACGATACAAACAGTATCAGCCCAAGATGCAGTCCATCTCTCTGCCTCCAATAAGCCGACAGGACCTCACTATGTCTTCTGCCATTCCACTGGTGGCATGGTGACTTTGTTGGCTTTGAACAAAGGACTGGCGAAGCAGTGGGAGAAGTTGAAAGGGGTTGTCTATTCAGCCCCGCTCATCAAGCGACTTGGACAGAGGTGTTTGGGAGCCGAGGGATGCTGACTTCGTGAACGTTGGATCGTTTCCATTCGTTTCCCTTCCACTTCGCTTGAACAGATGTCGTAAGCGCAATGTCTTTTGTCAATCAGTTGTTGAGCATGAAAGACCAGCAAAGGTGAACCTGAATGTCAACTGTAATTGGTTTGCAGATACAAGTGAGTACAAATTGTAGGACATCAACCAATATCAATCAATATACATGACTTGAGAATGCATGATATACTGCTAGGAATCGGTGAGCCAATCACCTTGCCATTCCCTCAGGTCACGTTCGCCCCTTGCAACTGGGCCAGGAAGGAGCCCGGGGAGATCTCCAATGGGCGCACTGAAGATGGGAGAAATCACAGTTCAGGCATAAGAGATAATCTATATCACGGGCACAGATATGACACAATACAAGACAAAACAACATAATATGAATAGTACGTTGTTTCATATCATGTCATATAATAGCAAACCCTGCATCTACCAATTTGTCCCCTTTTGCCGCTGAGCACAACCAGTTGCTGAGGCAGGGCCTATCCTTTGTTGCCCTGGTCTTGCAGACTGCTGTCTGTCTTGTGGCTTGTGCTGTTGCGGAACCCGCTGCTTGCTTCCTGGAATTACTGCTGGGCAACTGTCGAACTACAAAGCTCTTGAAGCCGCAAACTCAGTTGGATCGGGGTACCGGGGCATGAGCAGGAGGGTTTTTGGGTTGATTTTTGAGTCCTGTGCGTATAAAGATATGGCTTCCAAGTATATGCCATTATGCTACCCTATACATTCGGATCCGGACGCCCCCATCTGCTGTAGAGTGGTCATAGTGGTCATAGTGGTCATAGTGGTCCAGACTCCCAGCACAGGAAGCGACTCGGAAAGACTCCCTCTATTTTGGATGGAAAGCGAATTTATCGATGGTCAAAACTTTAGCAGATGGCACCCTTTTGGCATTGCAGCAGCTGAAGCAACCCAACTATCCCTTCCTGGTGATGGTGAGTCCGAACCAAGGCAGAAGGCATCGGCCATTCTTTCAACATGGTCAAAAAAAATCCGGCTGTTTCTGAAACTGAAATCCTTTTCCTCTGCACTAGTTGTTTGGTGGCTTGGGTAGCCTATAATATAATTTGGGCATGGAATACCTCAAACTCAGATGTCTAGTGCTTGCAGAAGTGGTGGAATTATGCGGAGTTGCGAGCTCCCCAGTTCCAACAGTTCCAACAAATGGCAACATCTGAGGAAGGATCAGCTGGTGGACCCTGCTTCGGCCAAAGCTCTGTTTGAGCAAGCGGCCAGCAGCACCAAATCTTTCGAGACCGATGCTTTTTCTTCTTCCCAGCATGAAATATTCAATGAGGACACCTTAGGGCCTTTGGGGAGAGTTCCAGGGATGTCTACTTGGGTCTTGATGGTGCAAGGTTGCACGGGATTCTTTGACACTCGGGCCAACATGATTGCATAATATTGCATAAACCTTGGAGCTACAGTACTTGTTAGACCCGTTGACGAACCCACAGTTTGCCACAAGTTGCAAGAGCTCAAAGAGCCTCGAAACTGGTTCGAAATCCAGTCTACCAAACTTGCTCGAAGCTCAAAACGTTCAATTTGGTCTTCAGGAGGATTGGCAGAAGCCGCTACAGATGGCGTTGCAGTTTCTACGAAGCTTAGAGACTTGAAGCTGCGGCCTCTGGTGCATGTCAGCGATCATCATTGTCCAAAAATGAGGTATACCGGTATACCCGGAGTACCCCTAAAATCCAATGGTTAACCGTTACGGTTAACCACGGTTAATCATAATCTTCACCATTGAAATGGCTACTAAAATGGCCCTAGATTGGAGCATGACTCATGTGCAACGATGGCGTGACGATGGATGCTGCCTCAAAGAGCGCAGCTGCTGAGAACTGTGCTGGAGCTAGCTGACGACAGCTCGACACAGTGGCTGTTAGATGTCCAGCTTTGGTGTTGCTACTTGAAGTAGTTAGAATCATAATGTGACTTTCAATTCGATTCAACGATTTCGGATTCCGCGTTATCACGTGAGCCTTCCCTCATTTGAACTGCTTCATCAGAGCCCCAGTCGGACAGATCACCAAACATGGAGATCTGGCAGATCTGGACAGCAGTTGTCTTGCAAAAATGCTGGACTACAGCACCAAAAAATGCGTCAAGAGGGCCAGCCTTTTCACAACGACCACAACGCGCTTACACTTTGGATTCTGCATGATTCTGCTATAGAAAATTGTGATACTTATTCTAGGCTGATAGTAAATTCTCAAACAACCCTTCACCCTGACCACCTCTAACTTCCTTTGAGTTGCCTGCTATTCTGTTCTTAAACTGGCAGCGATCTGTTCATGCATAAGCTTGATGAATATCCTGAAGACCGAATCCAGCTGCTGCCCTTTGTATCCCTTTCAACATTCCTTTATGATGTTTTGAGGAAATGATCAGGGGCAATTGCGGAAATGCTTGCAGCTGGCAGGCATGTTTTGGATGCTGGTCTTCATGATCGTGACGCTCTACAGTGTGGCGATTCTGTGTACTCGGGTCATTGGTCATGGAAACATCATCGGTGAGGATGCAGACGAAGACTTGCAAAAAATCAAGGACCTCAGAAGACTATCATGTCGGAATATGAATATATGTATAGATTGTGTACACTCAGCACAAAGTTCAGGAGGTATGTGTTTTTTTTTGGAACACACCTGGCAAAACACAATCTTGCTTCCTGGATACCATACCATCACAATGCCTGGAAGCAGCATGCAAGCTCTCAGTGATGCTACGAAAAAACAGCATTGAACAGGTAACCTTTTTGGATAGCCGCGCTTGGACATGAACATATACTGCCGCAGGAAATGTTCAGTTCAGTGAGTACTTCGATGTTCACTTTGTTCGGCACGGTGAGCAGTTGGAGTTTGATGAAATTTGTCCCCCTCTTGAAGAGAGCCTTGGCATTTTGTCGCAATGCTCGCTATGGCTTGCACCTGCAAAAAGGCACCAGTCTTTGGGGATGATGGCTTTCCATCAATTGGGACTTGATTGGAATTTATAATTAGATGTATATATACATACACAATTTACATAGCATTGTATATTATAATGTACATTATTATTATTATATTATATTATATTATATTATATTATATTATATTATATTTATAATAATAATATATGGATATGCTGTATTGGGACAATGGATGCGACTCCACATTTGCCCTAAACTGTATACAATGGTATGCAGATTCCGATTCCTGCATTATTTATCGATGAACAAACTCAAAAACCAGGCAGCACTTTTGTAGGGTGTAGTGCGATGCGCAAGGACTCGGCACTGGATGCACTGTGAGGATGCCAATGCTTCGGCCGCTCTTTGCGGGCTCGGGGTGAAAAAAGACTGCTATTGTGGTCTTCTACATCTACTCAGCTTGGGCGTTGTTGGCTGTGATGACAGGCTCCTTAAATGAATAACATAAACGAAGCGCGAGGGCAGAATCAAATGAACAGCTCTCGACCACCCGGCGGTCGTCGCCTCTTGGCGAAGGGCGCAGCCGTGGACGTCGTGGCCAGCGGCCCGGGAGCTCAGAAGCCGCCGGGAGCCGCCGCGGGTGGTGCCTCCGACGTCCGTGGTGCTGCTGAGGTGAGACTCCGCTGTTTAATGCAGCATACAACGACCACGTGGAGCGCCAAGCTGCTGTTGGCCGCGAAGGCCTCGGTGGACATCAAGCGCAACGACGGCTGGAACGACGGCTGGGGGCCTCAGCCGATGTCACAACCGTTTTGAAAACATTTGAAACCAGTTTTTCACCGGCAGTCACAATAATGATTACAGTTCAATGAATGCGGTATGTTTTTGATGACTTAATTAAGAATATGAAGTTTCAGGTTCTTTCAACTTTAATGGACCGCTGCGGGTGGTGCCTCCGACGCCTGCAGTGTTGAGGTTAGACTCCGCTGCATTCTGCAGGTATAGAGCGCATGCAGCAGCTCAAGCAATACCCCCCACCCCACCCCATCTCGAGCGTGGCATCACGTAAGTGCGCAACTTGATCCAATGTTACCAGACTAGTAATTGGTGTAGGAATAGCTGCGGAAAGTTAGAGACGGTAGTTTCCAGATAATACGAGTTGCGCAAGAAGAGTTGCGACATACGACCAAGTAGTTGCGAAATACGACCAATTAGTTCCGACATATTAGTTGCGCAATCCAAGTTGCGCAATACAACCAAATAGTTGCGCAATACAACCCAATACGAACGAATAGTTTCGCGGTATTAGTTGCGCAATCCAAGACAGTTTCGCAATCGGCTGAGGTTCCCAGCCGTCATCGTTCTTAATGTCCACGGAGGCCTTCGCGGCCAACAGCAGCTTGGCGCTCTCCACGTTCGAAATACCCGTTGCAAAATACAACCGTTTAGTTTCAACACATATGTTGCCCGCCACAACCGTTTTGAAAACAGTTTTTCACCGGCAATCACAACAATTGCTGCAGTTCAACGAATGTGGCATGTCTTAGCTTGTGATGATTTACATTTCGTCAAATTCAATGAATTTCTGCTGAAGTTCAAGAGCCGTGATCTTGGGGCATGTCTCTGTCATGTTGCGAACGTAGCACGTTTTATTTTGTTGAAACAATAGGTTTCGGAGTTCGTCAATGTCTTTGACATCCGCAGAGGGAAATCCTGTTCTTGGATACTTCTGAGCCAATGTGAAGAATGAGACAACGGTTTCCACACATTGAATCACCACTTGTCAAATTCTGCAGTCCGAATCTTGATCAATTGAAGTGATATATAGAATGGTGTCAGTTCGAATTTCAGCTGTGGTTCCCAGGCAAAACACCTTTGGATCTCGTTACAAAATGGAGGACAGAAATGGTGATGCTGATGGGCACAGCCTCTTGGCTGCACGGGTGGGGCCCAAAGCACTGCAGTGTCAGGGGATGAAACATGGTGAAACCGCTGGCACTGGTGGGCATGAAAACATGAAATGGGGCGGGGATAGTGTGAGTCCATACCTGGGATGTTAAGACATCCGATTTTGGACACATGAATCATAAAACCCATTGCCAAATCATCTTAAACCACTGGCCAACTGAGCACCGATCAACCACGAATCTGATTAAATGAACAGAATTGATTCGGGACCCAACAGGGAATTCTTTCGGTTGAAATGCCGTGCCATCTATTCAATTTCTATGGCCTTCAAGAACAAATCAGATTATCAGATTAAGCACGGACAGAACAGGTATGTTGTTTTTTGTTTGACTATCTTCAGCAACACGTGACATAGCCTAAGCACAGGAGTAGGCATTGGTTCCCTGATATTTTGTTCTACCCATATCGATTTTGGGGGTTGAATAATTTTGAGTCCCAGATGTTGTTTGCATCTTTGCTCCGCCCAAGGCATGAAATATAAGGCCTGGCGCCGGGAATAGCTCTGTGGTGTCTCATGTGCCTGTCAATTTTGGCTGGGAATGACCATTAATGAAGCAGTGGAACCATCATCAAAAAGGTCAGGGGAATGATACGCATGACTATGGGGCTGCAAGCAGATCTCAGGGAGCTTTGTCATTTGTTTCATTGTTCATTAGCAACATGGGGCACTTGATGAACATTCAAAAACCAAAGCTGTAACTGCTGGGCTTATCACAACATGCTGGGCACCTTTTAATCAGTTGTGCTTGTCAGAAAGATCTCCCCATTGCAAAACACAATCCATATACCTGTACAACGAGCACCTTTGCAGGTTGTCTTGGTGCAAGAAAGACTGGACAATACTGAGTGACTGGACATGTCTGCAAGTCTCTGACAACATGATTTTTTTGGGAACACATCTCCAGTCACCTGCTTCGCCTCCCATTTTTGCAGGTTCGCTATGGTGATTTCAACATATTTCAACTTTCGGGCCAAAGGTGCCTTTGGAGTGCATCCTATTGTATGAACAAAGATGCGCCACCCAACACCATTGGGTCCGGAGGGTATGGATCAAACTTGGGTCCCCCGAAAGTTGGGCGGCTTTAGGTGTGAATCCTAAAACCATAATATATATATAAATATTATATTCCCAAAATGATGAACATCTGTGGTTACGTGGGGCTTCTCTTTATATCAGCTTGGGACCTGGATTGAGCGTAGCAAATGGCTGGAAGCTCTGCTGTGCAGCCATTAGTTGTAGAGTCTCACACCGCTTATTTCATTCGGTGGTGGATTTGTTGTGATCAATGCCACATGGCTGTCTTTCAAGGTGATGACATGGTGAGCAAATGTCGTGCTCAGGCAGGTTTGCTTTCAATGCAGGTTCCGAAAACATGTGAAATGTGAACTTGGTTTAAACTTTAACCAAACCACCTAGTTTGCCGTTGCGACAGATCTCATCCAAAAGCCAACTGCAGCAAGTTGCGGCTCGCACGATTGTGCAGTTAGCTGAGCTGTTAGCTGCACCGACCGGACCCCGGAGAAATGGTGTACATCCCTTCGCAGGATACTGATGTGAAACTCACCAACCTCCGCTTGGACGATCCAGACACTTGGGCACCAATCTTGTCAAAGTTCATTTGGAGAACGAGGTACAACTTGCTTTATGTAGCCGTATATTCGATCATATTGGAAACTTTGGGGTGTAGTGGACTCATTGTGTTGACATAGCTTTGTGAAACAACGCCCTGCATCTGAGAAATGTTGTTCTATGTTGTTCTCACAGATGGAACAGGCCCGCCAATGGTTCCGCATTCAATCTTTTGAGGTGGAATTACATTTTATGGAAGAGTTGACATGTCAACTCACCTGGAAAGTGAATCATGCTTCTTGAAAAAACAGACAAGATCCTCTCACCGACAGGTCTTTCGCGTCATCATTTCTTGCGGCAAATCATTCCCACATCAGACTGGGGTCACAAAACTATGTTGACAGAAGGGCCCTCCATGAGTCAGGGACTTCAAACATCTTGAAATGATACTGAAAAGCAAAATCAATGTCACAGATTCTGCTCTACTGAGGAACTCCGGCGTCAGGCGGTGCGTTCCCTGCGTGCGGAGCGCCGATTTCTGGCGCTCTACCGCAATGACGGAGACGCGTCGCAGCCGCGGAGATGGACGAAGATCAAAGCGAAGCTGGGCATGGTGTGGCGCGCGCAGGAAGGGTGTCCTGCTGGCGTAGCTGCGACATGCTCCGGTATCCTCTAACGGTCCAACAAATTCTAACAATCTTTAACTCAATGGCTATGATTTGAGGCTTCCAAATGAACTTCCAGCAATCCTGAGATAGTTCGTGACATGCTCGTACGATCCGCTGGTGAACCTGCAGGAACCCCTGAAGAGCAACAAGCCGAAGCAAGGTGGGCTGTTCGTTCGACGGACGATGGTGCTAGAAGGATCGGTAGAAGGTATGTCCATTTGTATCCATCTGTTCAACCTGCCCTAATCAATCTCTCGCTTCAGATTTCATGGTCACCTCGCGATCCCATGCGATCCCTGTCACTCGAAGGCCTGGGACAGGAGCTGCGCGCCGCGTTCCTTGACGTCGATGGCGAGACCCAGCGCGAGCTAAAGTTCAAGGAGCAACGGCAGAAGCGCAGTGAGGAGTGGAGGGACCGAGGGAACCCTTGGAGGTTTTTGAGGATCTTGGAGGATTTGTTGATGTTGATTGGTTGATTGTGGTTGGCATTGGTTGATTCATTGATATTGATAGTGGATTTAGATATATTTATATAATTATATTATATATATAGATGGTGAATTGGATGTATTGTGGGGGATTCAAAAGGTTGATGTGGTTGATGTGGTTGATGGGTGATTGAATTGCTGATGATGATTGAGAATTGATGATTGAATGAAGTACAAATTTAATGTAATCATCCTTTCAAATTGGATGTCATCTTCCAATTGTCGACTGTGCAGGGTCGGGTGGCTCGGGCAAAGCCACAGAGAGAAGATGTGGTGATGCTCTCCTCTGATGACGAGGCACAGATGAGTTTTCTTGCCGCATTCTGAAAAGGGGAGCAATGACCAGTTTATTCCATCTTCCCATTTTCCCATGTTCCACCCATCTTCCGCCCCGCAGTGAATAGCGAAGGCTTCATTTTGCCCTATCGACATTGGAATCTGTCTGCAAGACATATTTCCAGTCGTATTTTTATGGTTCACCGTGTTCAGTGGTTCACCCACGTTCACCCCATTTGTTCATATCTTTCCTCGGGAGAGAGGCTCCAGCTCCAACTGCAGCTCCAACGGCGCCAACAGGGCCAACAACTGAGGTCACAGGCAGGATGAATTTAGCTCCGTGGGGATGTTGGGGATGTCGGATATATTGTGCAGGTGATATCTCGGATGGCCCACATTCCATTCAGGTTGTCTCGGGTTGCATGGAATGATATTGATATTGATTTTGATTAATGTTGGAGTTTTGATAGTTTTGGAAGATTGCTTCCACCGCGTGCTCTACAAACTTTTGGACTGAATCCAAATGGTTGTTCCGGAACCATTGGAACCTACATATTTCTCTGAAGCGATGGAAGCCGTGGTGCCATTTTGATCCGTTTTCTGATGACAGGACCTGATCCAGAAGATGCGATGCTGCAAACACCTCCTGGACGATCAACGAAAGAGGCGCGCGCAACTCTTTGGCTTCAAAAGCACTGCCTTCATGGCGGGGATTGGGACGTGACAATCGAAATGTTGGCCGTTTGTTCTTCTGGACTGGAAGTGGTGCAAGTCGTTCCTACGAGTCAGATTTAATAATCTTTCACACGTATCATTGCATCACTGCATCACGCAAACCAAAAGCTTGATAGGGTAACAATCAAGATGCTAAGAAGCTTGCCACAAGTCCTGCAGATCTGGAAAAAATTGGTCCACGCAAGTTCTTGCTGTCAGTTGCTGTAGCTGGACCTTCTCTGTTTCAGGCCACAAGCGAGGACAAGATGCCACTCCCTGAGAAATATGTGACGGTACGGTTTCCAGTCAGTGGATGTGGCCTCCTGCAACTTTTGCACACCAGCCCCACATTGATCAACTCAATTCAAGTTGATATGCATTGGCTTTATTAAATTTATTGTGTATAGTAGATGATCAAACATCTTGATAGAATCTTTATTCTCATGTAAACCACGAGAGGATTTGATATGACCCTGACAGAGAATTGGTGCAATGTCAGATCTTTGACTTGCCCAAGGCAGTCAGAGGCAGATGCTACGAAAGAGGCGGGCAGCCGCGAGACTTCGATGTTATGAAACAGGTAAGCACACCGATGGCAAACCATCCAGTTTACGTGTGCTTTTTCTTCCCCTGCAGATTTGACTGGAAGATGGCATTCTATGAAATTCTGGTTTTTATTGCAACATATTACAACTCATATCCAGTTATCCAGATCTGTCGGAACCTAGTAGACGATGTAGACGATCTGCCGAACTTGAGGCTGAAGTGAATGCAAATGCGGACACCCCAGGCAGATGGGATCAGATGGGTACTGATGGAAGGCCAAGACCGAATAGGGAGCATATGGGAGAATCATGTTTCGAGCCGAACAGTCCCATTATCCATAAGTTGCGCCATGTTGCGCCCTTTGTTTCTTGTCTGTTGCATGGTCGAACCATATTGGTGCGGCGCTTTGGAGGTCAACATGTTCCCATGGAAGATTTCAAATTTGTCAGTTCTCGAAATGTCGTTGACAGGAGCCACTCACGAGGGCGTGAAGGAGATGGATTTGATCCAGACACCACCTCCGCGACCAATCAGAAACGAGGAGGTTCGGGAGTCTCCAGCGTGGTAGGAAAACCCTGCTCAGTGGCAGCTTCTGCTTTTGCAGTTCTGTGCCCATATTATACCGCTACCTCATCTGACTTGCTCACATTTTTACATGTTTTCCATCTTGCATCTACATAAATTGGACCTCTGCCAAATATTGTTGCTACAAAATCATGCAAAGCGGATTGGAAGAGTTTATGATGTTTAAACATCTATTGTTTTTCAAACAAAAAACCAACTCATCATCAGCTGCGACCGTGGCTTAGCTGATCAGGTCCTAAGCGGAGAGAAGACCATCCGAATCCGTGCTGAGGCGGATCCACAGAGCCCGTCTGACGGGATCGAATGGGCTTTGAATTTTCGCGAATGCTCGAAATTGCTATCGAAATTGCTATCCTGTTGTCAATGCCTCTATGATCCTCTATGAACTTATTGTTCCAATTTCCGAGAAGATTTCGGGCGGTGCTTTCATGCTTGTTTACCTCATGTGTTGCGTGTCAGGCCGTGATCGAAGCTCCGGCTGATATACGCTTTGCCGCCAAGGTGAGACCACAAGTCACTGCAAATTGTGTCTTGATAATCGTTGATGACAAATGTGAGAACTCGTTGAGATGAGAAGATATGAGGAACATTTATCATTTAGCAATAGAAGACCTTTCCACATTAATCACACTATAATGATTTTTAATGTTTCATCATTTTTCGACTTAAAATCTGCGAGCTTTCAGTGGGGTGCAGGCGGGCCACGACTAGGTCAAGGTGGTTTGAGCTTCACCGCCTGAGCGACGCAGCCACGTGGCTTTGCCATGGATCAAGACCGGATTTAGACAGCCACGAGCCGATTCCGACAGGATGATGCAGAGTGCAGAGAGAGATTCTTGGAAGATGGCCTTCGAAGTTGAAACCTTTCATACATATTTTAACATAAATTCATATTTATATAATATTCAATAAATGTTAACATCTATTGACATATTATTTTAACATGTTTCACCGAACATGGTTGACCATTGAGAATTCCACAGCACTTTGTTTCAGCCCTATTGGCTGGCGGAGCACCTGACATCCGATCAGTGTAGCCGACATGATGTTTTTATTCCCTGCAGTCTTGGTGGGACGTGGCCAGGTTCCCAACTTCTGACTTTGCTTCCAAGAAATCGGTAGCAAATAAGAGAATCATGGTCTTCCAACGTGAGACTTGCGACCAGCTCATTGAGCTTTGGTAGTCGTGGCTTGTCCAAGACTGAGATCGCTTTCAGCCACAGGCACATATTGCACACATGTTAGCTAACACTGATCA